CGCGAAGCGCCGTGAGATATTCGGCGAGTCGCATGAAGGGTGCGCTGCATCCTGTTAAGGGTTTTCGGCATCTTGTGCTTACTTCCTTGCGTACGGATGACAGCTGCGTATGACTTAATTTACTTTCTGGTGCTTTCACTTCCAGAGACAGTTGTAAGCACTGTAACTGCCTCGAGGGTCCTTGACCATTTTAACACAACGTGGTGCGATCATCCCCCTTGCGCGGAGTGAGGGTTCACCCCGCACAACATGATCTACTCGACCACCATTATGGTTACCGCCAAAAAAAACGGAGGTAAAAAAAAAAACGGTAACCTGGCTGCCGAGTTCGCGAAGTGAATTGGCTTGTTTTCCAACGTCGTTGCCAAGCGACGAAAACCCAACCCCGACGGCAAACACCGGGGGGGGCGGCTTGTTTTACAACCTCGTTGCCAAGCGACGAAAACCCAACCCCGATGGCAAACACCAGATTATCCCCCTTGCGCGGAGTGAGGGTTCTCGACCCCGCACAACATGATCTACTCGACCACCATTCATGGTTACCGCAAAAAAAAAAAACATGGCAAAAAAAAAGCGGTCATGTGGTTGCCGAGCTCACCAAGTGATCGGCTTGTTTGACAACATCGCTGCCAAGCGACGAATACCCGACCCCGATGGCAAACACCGGGTGTTTGCAACGTCGTTGCCAAGCGACGAAAACCCAATCCGATGGCAAACACGGNGGGGGGGGGGGGGGGGGGGGGGGGGGGGGGGGGGGGGGGGGGGGGGGGGGGGGGGGGGGGGGGGGGGGGGGGGGGGGGTCGCACACGGCACAGGAGGTCACCAGCCGCTATTGTAGGGGGAACCAAAAACTATGGAGTGATTCATTCGGGTGAACGCTGTCAGAAGACCTATGACACGGCCGCCGCCGAAACCGCGAAGACGCAGCTTTCTCCGGCAAACTGAGTGAGGCGTTGAAAGAGATTGCTGCGTGTGGTGCCGCAGCCCCATCATATATCTCGCCAAACCCTACAACCACCACGCCGCAAAATGACGAAAGAACACATCTCTGGCGTATGCCAGGACAAACAACATCCCAGCACGGCCACCACGAGACAGGCACCATACAGGCCATCAAGGGCGTGCACCCATGTTTCCATGTACGTTAATCAGAATGCACAGGCTTCGCATACCAGCTGACCCACGATAAACAAAACAATGTATTGAAGTGGTCCCTACATAAGGTGGCGGTCCCTGTATAAGCTACTGGTCCCTGTGTAAGCCACTTACCCGTAGCTCACAATGATCGGAAAGGTTGCCTGGCGGACCCCGAAAAGCGACAAACAACAGCGCAGCTCCTTTCGGCATTGGACCGAAGCTGAGGTGGGGGTCAATATCACCTCGGGTGGGTACTTTCTCTCGCGGGAGACAAGGACGAAAAGTGCAACCCTACACGGAAGCTCTGCACGGAAGGAAGCGTGGCCATAACTCGCCTTCGATCTCCATTTCTCTCGTGAGGGCCGGGTTGATGTCGACCCTGGCGATGTCCGTGATGGTGTTGAACATGGCCGCCAACGCGCCCTCCATCGCACGCTCGATGCTGTCTCCCCCTGCACGCGCGAGACGCAAAGCAAACGCAAGAGAGAGGGAGAGAGAGGGAGCGAGAGGGAGAGAACGAGAGATAAAGAGAGCGGGTGGGGGAGGGAGGGAGAGAGAGATGAGCTCCATCAGCACGACACCAGGAACCATAAAACGTCATGCAATTCTAAAGGCCGCCGATTCGAAGGAGATACCTAACGTGAATATCTCCCCCCCTCCCCTCTTCTTTGCGAGGTCAATGGTCTAACGACTACGGCATGCACGACTATGAGCACACCCTATGAGTCACCTTCCCCTCTCCTTCCATAGCTTCCACTTGTCTCTGCCACCCAAGGCTACAACGAAACCACCCATTTTCACAAGCCTATGAGAAACTTGACCCAAAGTCACCTCTGCTGATAAATGAAGTCTTTGTGCTTTTCTGTGCTGTCGATAAGCGGCAATTTGAGCAAGACTCACAGCTGTGGAGCTGGACGTCGGCCGTATGGTCCAAATCTGATGGGCAAGAAAGTGCCAAAGCGGCGACGGCATAGGGGGACGGGGGAGGAGGGGGGGGGGCGTGAACAGAGACGCATGAGTCAACACAAGAGTCAAGAGGAGGACAAGAACGAAATCTATCCACTTTTCCAGTTACACACAAAGGTACGGTGAAACACGCACCGTATATGAATCAAAACTGAGCACCTCGCTGCCCGCGCAGTCAGGTAGCAGGCGACTACATGGGTTGGGCGCGAGGTGGAAATAGCTCGGTTTTTGGCGATGAGAAGCAAGCGCGAGAGAGGCATTCCCGTGGAATGATGTTGCCGCCCGTCATGGGCGGGCTATCTGCTACAGCGCAAGCAGCCAGACGGGCAAACACCAGGTAGATGTGTCGATCGAGGGAATCGGTCCTGACCTGCGTTTGAGATTTTCGCTCTTTGAAGGGCACGTCCACAGATATTCCCACCAAACAAGGGAATTGAATCTCCACAGCTTCGTTCTACAAAGCAAGGCGATAGAGTTGCACATGGAGAGAAAGAAGGTAAAGAAATCTGTTCGGGAAAAGTACAAGCCAAAGTGCGCGGCGACGAACACTTGTTTCGTCCCGTATCTCCTTTGGGGGAGGTGCAAGCCGCCAGTGTGGAGGGAAGGGGGCGGGGGGGAAAGCAGCAGCACGCCGCAGCACCTTTCAGCTCCACGTCGTTGTGGCAAGCAGACCGGAAGACATTCGGCTACAGGACGTTGGGCCGCTTCTCTGAATCACTCTAAGGGTTTTCGCAAGACAGAGGGGGCGTTCTTCCAATACGTATTCTACGTAAATGCTCACACTCGAAGTTGGCCCCCTCCGCGCCCCCGTCCGCGCCGGCACCGCCCTCCAGCCCTCCCGAAAACCGCTTGATTTTCGACCTCGCGTCCACTTCCGCCGTCACGGCGGCGTGCCGCGCTGCTACGGCCGCTGCCTTGTCCCCCCCCTTCCCCCCAGTGTCTTCTGCGGATCCCCTTCCCTCCACCACCCGATCATCTTCCCTCCCACGGCCGTCATCACGGACAACACCCCCGTCGACGGGAGTGGCGGCGCCGGTGGGTTTTGCTAGAGAACAAGCGTTATCGCCGACGCTGACGAGCGACGAAGCGTTGCCACGGCATGGGTCGTGCTGGTCTCGTCCTCCGCTCTCCTTGGGCCCACCACTGGAGGTCCGTCGAGGCTGTTGGTTGCCGTGGCCGCCTTCTGCGACGCCAACGACCGGAACCAAGCCTGCAGCTCCCGTTGCGGCCGCTGTTGCCGCGGCCGCTCCCGACGCTGGTGATGCTCTTGTTACCGACGCCAACTTTGGTGGTGCTGGTGGCGCCGCTGAAGCAACCTTCTCCTCCCGCTGTCGCTGCTGGTCTGGTGGGGGAGGCTGAGGCGGAGGATTCCCGACTGCGACAGTTCGCCATCCGCCACGAAATTCAAACGGAAAATAATCGGAACGATCGGGAGTGGGGGAGAGCGTGTGGAATACCTGAAGGAACAACACTCTGCAGCAGAGTTCAGCGCAGCCCCATCACACCAACACCAACAGCGGCGGCAACAAAAATAGGGGTATATACACCCGTAAAAGTCGGAGATTGAATCTCGTGGTATCTAATACGCGAATGACCCCAAGCCATCTCTCGCGATATGGCAGGTGCAGCCAAGGTTGGCGAGTTGACAAGCCCAGCAGGGACAGCCTGCATATTCTTAGCCGATACACAATTCCGCAAGCATGTACCATGCCGTCGCGCACGTGTGTCTAGGCGTTGCGAGCGTGAGGATCAAAGGGTTGTTCACACCTGCCGGAGTGGCACTAGCAGCCGTGGCCGGCCGGCGCTTTCTTGCTCTCTGTGGAAGAGCTTCCCATTGGCTGCTGGACATGATACTTCGTGACAGTGGCCGCCCCCCCCGGGCGCCACGAACCTCAGTCGCTGGCAGCATACAACGCACACAACAACGACGAAAGGAAACAACATTAATCAATGGTGAATCACGCCACTGCCATGTGCGAAAATTGAGAGCGGGGATCAACTTTCATCGGTACCACAAGATACCGTAGTAGGACAGACTATGCTGCTAAGATGATACGAAACAAGGGGAACAAGCCAACAGCATTCGAATGCTACACCATTCGTCTGCATGAGCCACCATGAATGAGCGACCAAGAAACTGTCGTCGACTGCTGTCGCTGTGTTTGCTTTGCAAAACCATTTTCCAGCTTGAAGCACACATGGCAGCTGCGAACTGCTGCAGATTCGATCATGAAGGTGGTCAGGTGGTCTCCTCGAGTCGGAAGCAGAGCAGCATAGTACAACAGGTCTGCTGGATCTGGATCCGCTCACTGCTGTACTTGTAAGCACGTGCTTGTACATCGCACCAACTCAACCCATGAGAAAGAGTGTTAACGCCTGCTGGTCGGAGGCCCACAGGCGTACATATTATCGGTCGCCCCGGTGGTCTAGTGAGTAACCTCGCAGCCTAGTAAGGGCCACATGGGTTCGAGTCCCGGCAGAGTGAGTGTTTTTGCTCTCTTCATAAATCCTGGTCTAGGATGAAAGCGACGCGCTGCAAAGCGTGTTAGTAAACCATAATGGACTTCGTGAGTCGCGAGGGAAGGGATTGCTGTACCCTTCTCGCGATAAAAATACCTCAGGCAGGAACCGCAGGAGGGGGTCCAGCCCGCCCCTCCTATGTGACCCCGGTTGGGTCGTCTAGCTAGTAGAAGTGGAGGATAGGGGCCAGAGGGGCAGACGACAGAGTCCAACGATGGGAGAAAAAAAAGAAAAATGCCACCACCAGAGATGCTGCCGAGGGACAGGCTGCAGCATTTTCTACCAATTTTCTAACATGGAATGGAGCGTAGTTTTCTCCGCATAAGCCACAGGAGCTGCTGTCTACAGAGTCCATGTGCCTTTCGTCGAAAGAAGTATCACTATCTCTGTGTTCTGCTCAACATATATTTCGTTCCTATTCTCAACACAGGCAGACAGGCAGGGGCCACGCTACAACGCCACAACGAAGAGGGCAGCGATTCGATTCAGACTCTTCTACACTGCTGTAAAACCCTGGTTCGACTCACCGGCGTCCACGCGCGTTCTGCGGAAAAAAATAACACAGATGCTCCCCAGAGTTGAAAAAACGCTTGGCGCAAGAAGCGAGCGAGCGAGCGAGCGAGCGAAAGAGAGAGAGAGAGAGAGAGAGAGAGAGAGAGAGTCCAACGTATCCGGGGAGGGTACTCTGTATAGTCTCTCAGCTCTTGCTGTACTGCTGTCCTGCTGTCCTGCCTTTGACTTTGGGCTTTGGGCTTTGGGCTGCCTCAAGGGGCGCTAATCTCGCCGCCAAAACCTCGGTTCTTGGTTCTGGAGGCCATCTGGTTCTGCGGGGATAGCAGGCAAGAGTGACTTGGGAGAGCCCCAGGCCAAGCCCTAGGCTTGACCGGTCATCAACAGCGGGAACGATTGCCTGAGACAGCGACCGGGGCGGGCAGGGCAAACGAAAGAGGGGGGAAAGGGAAGCGACGGAAGTGGGGGTGAAGGAAAACGCGGTGTAGATCTCCTCGTGCTGCAAACATCTGCGGAAACATTGTTTTGCAAAAGGCCGTTCAGAATTGTTAGCAGGAATCACAACAAGATAATTTTTAGAGCCGCGACCGCGACCTTCAGAGAAGGATAAACGGCAAGGGGCCAGCGCCTGGACCAGGTGCGGAGCAAGAACACTCCCGACGTCCTCCTCAAGAGTCGCGTGAATAATGGCTAGGCGTGTCGGGAACAATGATGCACCTGCTCATCCAGCAAAGGATTCTGAGGTATGTGCTGCTGTAGAGCTGCCGTGTAATTGGAGACGCAGTCTGTCCATCACAAACCTCAACCAAGTTGCTTGTTGTGTCCAGCGAACATGCATCTCTAGCGCGAACGTTCAATACTTGGCGCAGCAGCAGCTCTGGTGGAATACGCCGACCATGACACACCGGGCGCTGATACATATGCAGACAACATAAGCATCGAGAGAACCGGGGACAGAATGCCGCTCTAGACTAGGCAAGAGGGAAGCGTTGCTGCTGTGGTCTTCGAACAATCGTTGTCGCACGTTGGCCGAAGACGGACACCAGGTGTGGACTAAACCAAAGCAGCAGCTGCAGCAGCAGCAACAGCGCGAAAGCCAAGGCCTGCCTTCCCAATTTGTCATCAGCATGTCAAAAGTGAAGCAAGCATTCCTTGCTACTGCACTCTGGCAAAACTTCAGCGGCCTGTCTCTATGAACAAAGCTCAGAGCGGCCGTTGCGCATGGGTGACCAGCGACCCGCCCAATTCTGTTTCCTAGCTGCATTGCTGGTTGGCCACGTCTGATGACGAGTGTTGTCGAACTCTCTGTAGGGGGGGAGGCAGACCTGTCGTGTTCTCTCTGAAGCCGTCCCGAGCCCATCTGTTTATCTCAAGAGTTGCGTGCAGAAGTATCGCGCGGACGATGCGAGTCATCCACCGGGCGCGGGGTGGTCGCGCATACCGGAGGAATCGCACCGGCGGGGTGCGTTGTACAACATGCGAGAAAACAAATTATTCCATTCGATTTCACGCGGCTGTCGGAGGGGCGGGTTGCGATGAACAACAGTCAATGATCAAACGCTTCTTCGGGGGTGCGATGGCCACTCTCGCGCGCATGCTGTTGTGTCCCTTTTTTCAACGTAAGTACAGAAGAACCGGTCGCCCCGGTGGTCTAGCGGTATCCTCGTAATCCGCTAGTGGCAGAGGTCGTGAGTTCGAATCCCCATGAGGTGAAAAATTTCTAAATTTGCGGGTGAAAGCGAAATATAGCTAAAAAGCTTAAAGCTCTCGCGAGTACCAAACTTCGACGTTGGCACCGTTGACGAGGGAAAGGGACGGCTGGACCCTTCTCGCGATAAAAATAAAAATTCAGCACGCACCGCAGGAGGAAGGTGGGGCATGAAAATAAATATAAAGAAGAAAAAAGCCCTGGTGTTTACCCCCTCCTGTGTGACCCTGGGTGGTTGTAGTTGTACGAAAAAATACGCTGAAGAGTATAGTACCCTACATACGCTGAAAAGTGTAGTACACGGCTCACCACGAAAAATGGGGGACTGTCGCCATAATAAATAGGACGAAAACACACACACACACACACACACACTGCTGTACCTGAGGAGGAAGAGTGTGGTGCCTACAGCAGTGTGCGCCCATGTATGCAAACAACATGGCATTTATTAGTACATGCGTATGCATACCTGTATGCAGAACCCGTTCGGATCGTGCGGAGCGCCATGGCTTGAAGGTTATATCCGCCGTGTGAGGCCGGTGCAAATAGCAAGTATAGTAGTTGTTTCCAATGCTCGCGCGAGTGGGCAGGATGTCGGCACGCCGTTTCACGTTAAGGCAGCAGCAACAACAGCGGTATTGCTCATGCAGTGCATGCAAAATAGGAACGAAAATATACTCACCCTCCCCTGAAGAGTTTCGCCTTTCCTTCCCACAAGTATTGAGTATAGAACAAGCTGAACCTGTTGTTCCTAGGCGTGTTTAATCTCTGCGCCTGTCCGTCTGTCTGTCTGTCTATTTGTCTGTGCCGCATTTGCGGCTGGCATATACGTACGTCGTCACGACTGCCTCGGGGACCCTTTTGCGGCGGGATGGGCGTCGTGCGTTGTGCATGCAACTGCCCGCCGTTCATTCCTACCTACCCCGGACACCAGCAACTGTCGAGCTACTTTTCTCTAAGCGAGGCCGTACCGAGCACCTTGCGCTCCCACAGCGGGAGCATGGACGTCACGGACGTCGCCTACGCCCCCCGAATGTAAGGAAATGTCAGCGCAAAGGTCGGCATTGCGATATGATCATTTGGTAACCATATTGTGAAGCCGGCGTGATAGAGAGGTACCGGCGGTCGTCCTCTGCCTAGCCTCTTTGACAATTTCTGGATGCAGAGTTGTCCATGAGTAAATTTCGCTACAGTAGTTTCCCGCTTTCTATGCATGCTCTCTGCTGTCCTTTGGATTGGTTTCCTTGTTCAGCTGCGACGTCGAACCATTACAAAGCACTTCGCCATAGCACCCACCACCACCGCTACTCCTTGCTCGAAGGACGGCGTTCTCCAGAAACGGGGAGACCCTGCTGGAGGACCGCCTGGCCGAGGACGGCGACGCCTCCGCCGACTACAACCCCGCGGACGACGACACCACCTCAGACGAGGGCAGCCCCATCGCGCGACAGAGCCACCTAGACCACCACCTCAACCGCCAACGCCTCGGCGACGCCGCCAACGCCGACGACGACGGCGGTGCGGACGGGGGGGGGATGATGGACCTGGAGGACGGGGGGGGAGTCGGAGGAGAAGGAGGCGACGTTGACGAGTTGGGTCCGGGGATTGCGCTCGGCGGCGGGTTGGAGGAGAGCGGCGGCGGGTTGGAGGAGGTGGTACGGAGGGGAGAAAAGGCCGGCGGGGTGGGGCTGGAGGTGAGAGACAGCTCCATGTCGCTGTTGTCCTTTGGGCCGTCGAAGCGTTTGCCGTGGAAACCACTCCGTGACGGGGGTCACACGGGGGGAAGTCGATCGAACACCTTCGGGCGCTCCCCGCGGGGTTTCTTTGCAAGTCTTGCATGTCTTGCATGTCGAAAGTGTGCTTTCCTTTCTTTGGGGTTGCGGGCGTCAGCCGTCTACGTCCGGCCTTTTACGAAGGATACCACACGGCACCCAGGGCATGGCAGTTGTGCGAGGAGTTGGTCGTGCCCGTTGTCGCCGACCCCTCCCTCCGCTTTCGATGCGTCCCTTTTTGTTTGTCCCTTCTCTCGTCCCCGCCGTTCGCAGCCTTCGTTTGCGAACGTTTTACACATGGCGGTCGTTTTTTTCAGGGCTATTCGTGGAGTTCGATGGGATGGTAAATATGATGGTAGTGGGATGGTAGTGGTATGGTAGTGGTATGGTAGAAATTTTTCGATCCCACAACGTTTACCATCCCACTACCATCCCATCGGATCCATCGTACCCTCCCATCCCATCTAGAATTTCCCACGTCCCGCCCATTCCATCTACACGCCCATCCGAATGGCGTTTCCCATCACAGCTACTTCCATCACAAAGCATATCCCATCCCAGTCACTCCCACCAACATGACACCCACATCCCATCGAAACACCAGCCAACCGCACATTTCCCACTACCCACCCCCCCCTGCGTACCTATTCTAATGGAGAACGTATACCCCTGTTGCACCAGCTTGCGCCTCCTCGCCGCCTCCTACTCGGCCTGCTGCTGCATCTGGCATGTCCATGCAGCTATGTGTACACACCAAACATGGCGGACGGCGAAGCCAACAGTAGTAAGTCTGCACGACGACATTCCTTCTGCAGCAACAGCTCCCACCAGCTCCCGCTAGCACAGCGGAGTTAACAACAACAGTGCCTCGGCGGGATATAGCTGTGTTGCCTGTTAGATGCATCTCTCAGTGCTAGTTGATTTTTTAGCAGGAAAGGCAACCAAGTAAGGCGTACCATATGGGAAATAGTAGCCCGTAGGTATGTATCTGCGTATGTGTGTGTTTCTGTTCTTCCTTTCTATTTGTGCGTAGCATCTCGTATGAAAAGGATTATGTACGCATATATACTGTAGATCTATACGACGAGAATTCTGGCTGCCATGATTTTCAGTCACCCGCCTTTTTTGTGCTTAATTGTGCAACGAGGTTAATGCTGTGCCTCCATGTATATATAGGTGTGTCCTCGCCATGAACAGGAGAGAGAGGCGGCAAACCTTTTGACAAGAACTATCACCATCAACAGCGAAAACTTGAGATACATGTTACCGTCCCAGCCCACCACCCGTTCGTGAACGTATCCATCCCATCCCATAGAAACATCCAGCAGTTCCCATCCCATCCCAGCAACAAGCATTGGCTACTACCATCCCACCCCATCAGCGTGAAGCGCAATCCCTTTCCCATCCCATCCCATTCCCATCGGAGCGAGTAAAATTCCATCCCATCAAAGCTGATGGTAAGCCCAAAACAGTTTCCGCCTGCGGCGGGCTTTAATTACCATTCCCATCCCACGGGGCGACTACGCCACGCATAGCCTTGGTGTTTTTTTGCATCTATTTTTGTACCCCAGCGGGGGGTTGGAGCTACCTAGTGTTGTCTCGTTGAATGTTTGTGCCGTTGGCAACGACTATTGGTCGAGATCGCGCGCCTGGCGACGTTGCGCAAGGGGTAGGAGGGGAGGGGAGGGG